CCGATCACCGTACTCCGTTTAATCATCGAAGTGCTCAGTTTTGCGGCAACACCAAAATCAGCTATCTTGACCTCGCCACGATCCGTAAGAAGGATGTTTGCCCCCTAACGTTAAAATAGTAATGCGGCTAATAAACCTGCCTTAATATCGCGGTGAATCCGATTTCTTTCATGCATGTGTCGCAGACCCTTTAGTGTTTCCCTGGTAACGAAGGCTATACAGTCCTCTTGTAAGGGGATACGAGTATCTAAGCAGAGTCAGCATTCGCAAACTAAGAATTCATACAGAGATAAATATCCTGCATTGATTGTCCACCGCAGAATTCCATACATATCCAAAGTTTGTTGAGACGAAGGTAGCTGCCATAATATTGCACAATGTTAGGGTGGGAGCACTCCATAAGGGTATGAATCTCCTGACATATAGCTCGAATGTCATCCTTGGGATCAATTTTCATTATTTTAATGGCCACCAGCCGACGGTCATCACGTCGTTGTGCCTGCAGGAAGTAAAGCTAATTATAAAGCTGTAGAAGTTTGCATTGTTATAATAAGAGAGGCGTGCGTCCATATTAAATGAAAACTATATAACACTAGCGAACCATACATAAAAATCTGCCCAACTTATGCGTACTGGATTAGATTTAAAAAGTTACAATTTACTCACAATTTGAACACACATCGGCGGTTATCATGCAAACCCAATTTTAAAGAGGTAACTACGCCCTATGGAGTACATTTATGGAACACATAAAGGTGTCGAAACCAAGACCCAAGGATTTTTGGATCAATGAAGCAACTTCTGTAAGACCACATGAAATATGCACACACCCAAAAAATAAGTAGAGGCAAAGGTTAAGTTAATGTGTTTCGATAAATAACAAGATAATTCATTTGGGAAAAAGGATGACACCTACCTTGTAAACATCCCCGTACGTGCCGCTACCAATGTTTGCCAGCACTTTGTACTCTAACTTGGGGTCAGATTGTTTAACAATCTGCCGAAGATATGCTAAATCAGGATGATGCATTGACGGCTCATGAAACGCATTTGGACTGCCCGCAATTTGTTTCATATAGATAAATTGGTCAACATCGTTTCTCATGACAATAGTTTTGTGGTTTTTAAATTTAAATGCGACTAAAAATTTATGTCAACGTTGTCATAGAAGTAAGGTATTGTGTAG